GATCCATTCCTGGTACGCAGACTGCATGGATGTCTCTAGGTGCTGATGACAGAACTTTGTGGCTTCCAGGATCCTTCATATAAGTGGCTATCAAGCTGTTTCCCCTTCTTTTACAGCCCAAGGTAGTGACATTTTCAAGCACATAGCTGGATTTTCTAAGTAAATCTATGATTTAGAACCATGGAATGCCTCCATGGTAGGGGCAGGGGAAGTTGGACATTCTTTAATAGACGTTTAATGCCAAAGTTTTAAAGTTATGTTAACCTCAAGTGAAAAGGATAAGCTCACTATGATTTTGTTTTGTAAGAACAATAGAAAAGCCCTCCCCACCTATGAGTGCATTCAGGTTTGTTAAGAATCCATGTTATCGTCGTGGGCCTGTTTTTCCTTAATTTTGGGAATAGTTAGAAACAACTGTTGCAGAGTTAATAAAATGCATGCTATTGTTCAGATGCATGCATTAATGAGGATGCAGCATGTTAAAATTGGCATAACTTTTTTTGAGTCTTAGTTGCATTAATCTCTACACTTACCCCAAACTCCTCCACCTCTTCTTCCTGTAAGCAAGAGCCATATACAATGAAGCATGTATTTAAAAAGAAAAGCAAAGGGGGAAAATCACAGTTGAGAGTCAGAAAGGAAGAGGATGTAGACAGGAAAAGAGAGAAATGAAAATTTCAATTAAGTAAAACAATTCTCAAAACAGTGACACACAATTTTCAGTGGAATAGAGACAGAATTTGTTACTATGTGCAGTGAATACACAAGCACAGAGAACCAAAGGGTTGGGAGTTTAAAAGACCATGGATTTTGAAGGAAACCTCCACTTAGGTTGGCATGTGCTGTTTTTCACACATCACTCACTCCCTTTCGAACCTACAACCTGATCTCAAGGACAGTACAAATTAATGATCTATTGTATTCTGGCACTGATCATATTACAACTGAATTTTTAATAAGAAGTTCCATTTTACTGGGTTACATTTTCAATGCCATTGATTACTCTGAATTGCCTAACCTCTTTGACTTAAGATATTCCTGTGTTTTTCCTATTATGATACTTTATCCTGGGTGAGATGGAAAGAGCCCTAAGCTAAAAACTTCATATATTGAAATACTGTACGCCAAATGTTATTTAAAAACTTTTGTAAACCTTCACTTAAGCATTGCAATCAGCATTAATCTACATTTGTTTCATATTCACTTTCCCATGATAAATGTTAACAAACAATGAAATTAAACAAAAAACAAACATGTGAACATACACATATTGTTTCCTCCACACAAGAACACCTCCCTGCACCCAAATTTCCATTTTAAATGCCATACCTTTGTCTGAACATTACTGCAGGATCCATATTAGCAGAAGTCATTCTGATGACTTGACGAATCTCTTTGGCAATCATTCTGAGCTTCTCGAAATTTACCAAGCCATCCACCCTTGAATCATTTCCTATACAATTAAAATATGTGCAAGAAAACCTTAAGAGGGTTCACAACACTTCAGAGACTGACATGTTATTTCTCTCATATATTACAAGCCACCATCAGATGTCAAAGGTCTCAAATTCAAGTGTCGTTAAAACCACAAGAAGATGTAAGGTAGAGTATGGATGCCAGTCAAAATGCTAACTTTACCCTCACTCAGTTGTTTTTATAGTGGCAGCTGTCAGCAGAAAGAAAATGTTACACTTGGACTGTGTTCGCTTTGATTTTCCAATGATAAAAGGGTCGGGAAACTGATAGCAACAAGGTTACTGCCCTTTAAAAATTGGTTCTACCTCTTAATTTAGGGTGGAAAGAATTCATCTTCAACAGTTTTCAGTTCTTTCAGACACAGGAGCCAATGCTAAGCCAAATATGGGTACATACTGTTAATTTTTTACTGTTAATTTTCATTTTTCTCAGCTTTTTTGAGAGTTAGGGTGGCAGATGTAGGGAGGCAGGGCCCCTATACTGCAATAGCTATATAAAGTGGGGATATAAAGTGGGGGTTTTGACATGTGTAGCTTGTTGATCGGGGTGATGTTGTACCTGCTGAATTTCCTTCTTCACTGCATAGTCAAACATCTGATGTTATAATGACATCAGGTGACTGTCAAGGTTAATATGTGGGTGAGGGAGGGGTCCAGTTTGCTAATGTGTTTCCCACACAGAATGTGCTGGTGAAGCAGGATGTGACGGAAAAGTTTGTTTTGCTGGACAGTTTGGTAGGTTGGGATAGAGGTTGGGAGAATAGGGTGGGAGAGAGGGAGTGACAGGAGAGAAAGTTGGTTCTGGGTAGAAACATCCACTCTAAGGAATATATCAAAAGCTAGAGAAAGGAGTCTCTGAGCTTAGTGTGAAGGACAGTGTATGATGTCCTGTAAGAGTAATTAGGCCAGGAATTAATTGGGAGGCTGAGGCTGAGCCAGAAGAAGTAGAAGCCGTGAGAATACAGTCTACTTAGGACTCATTCCAGTCAGGAGGGGAGACATTCTGACTACAAAAAGAGAATATTCCCAAACCAGTTAAGAGGGGTGTGGTGATCCTTTGGGTCTGTAACTTGGAGTACCTCAGGAGTAGGGTTGTCAAAGGGGTGTGTAAATGACAGAAAACACCACCTTGTTTAAGAACCAAAGTATTAAGCGGCAACAGCTGTGCAACAACTGAGAAAGAACTGAGTGAAATAGCATTATAATCTGAAGTATCCTATGTTTTACCCATTTTGTGTCATAAACTTCCTTTGTTAAATAAAAGCTCTCTTGTTTATTTGATCAAATCCTGCCTGACACTCCAAATTATTATTTTTTTCCTCACACAAGTCCCCCACAAGATAATCTGGGGTAGTTTGTAGGAATTGGTGGAATTAGTGTTCTGTGAGGTGGGTGCATTATATTTAAGTGAGGGCAGGCCCGACGGCACCAGGGGGGAAAGTGCCATTGCGCCGTCGCAAAGGACCCAGCAGGACTGAACTTGATGCTCACCAGCTGACATGAGTGATGTTCAGCTGTTGACACATGGGCATGGTTTAAGCAAAAGGGCATTATGGGCAAATATTGACCCACAAACTGAAGGTTTCCACCCCTGAATTCAATCAACGCGGTCTACCACCACCATTCTCTGTAATTTACTTGCTACATCTGGTTTTAAATTTGTCATGACCAAGAACCTGACATCTCTCATCATTAATAACATGCTGTCAATCGGTGTTATGTTCACTTGGCCAAGGTTTCAGTGACTCCTAGAGGACAGATTGCTGTTGGATGCTTGCTACTAGAAATAATCAGCATTATAAGCCAATAAAAAATAAGGAATTGCGGGCATTGTGTCTCATGAGGCTCTATAATAATAAACCTACCTAGACTCTGAGATCATCAAGATCATCATCTGAGGCCCTTCTTCATTTGCCTCCTCCAAGAGAAGTCCAAGGGTGGCAACATGAGAATGGGACTTTTCTGCAGTGGTTCCCCATTTGTAAAATGCTCTCCCTCTGCTTACAGTTTTCTATGTGCACCATAGTATATTTATCTTAGCCCTAATCATGTCCTCTTTGGCAGCAAACCTCAGATCCCTTGGCGCAAACCAATGAAGTATTAATATGCAATTTAATAAGCTGGCTCAATTACTTCTCTGTGGCATTACCTTCATGCATAAATGGTAATATCCTTCTTGACAACAGGAAAAAGTGGAATAATTGGAGGCTGCATGCTCTGACTGCTAAGGATGTTGCGATACTTTGCCATGGTTTCTAGATGGATCAAAAAGGTCTTGAAGATCTCGTAGGTGCTTTTCATACTTGCTTGGTAACTTTTCCCATGTACCCCTAAGTCGGGCTACTGGTGCCAGATTAAGACCACTGCAAGAAATAACTCTCACATTTACCAGTTATCAAATAAAAACAAATTCATACACCCTATCAAAAGAGGATGCTCCTGACCCACATTAATATCCCAGGCTATAGAAGGGAGCCTCCTCCAAACCATAAACAAAAATATTGTGATACAAGTGAAATAGTGTGGATAGAAGAATGCTTTCTGAAGTGAAGGTTTCCATGAGGTTGGGTACAAAGTATGCTAGCTTGTCCACATGAAAAATTAGTTGCCTGATTATCTGGAACCCGGTTAATAAATTTTATCAATAATATTATATTCCTGCAATTAAAGATGTTATTGTACATTTAACTAAAATGTATGAAGAGTCCATGTCTATAAACAACACATTTCCACCTAATAACCCCAAAAAGTCATAAGTACATTCTTTTTCAGTAAACTTCTATCAGTATGTTTATGACATACCTATTAAGTTACCAAGCCACATCCCAGATCTGCCAATAACTATTCAAGTTTCTGATATTAAGGCTATGATCAGGCACTTCATTTTAATTCTAGTTTTCGACTTCTCTGCTATCTATCAAAAGAGAATAACCTACCTTATAACAGCAAACATAGAGTTGAAATTCTTGCACTCTCGACAATGGAGAGCAATTTTTATGAAATGTTTTACGATCTTCATCCTTTTAAGCTGGTTTGGCTCTGATAAAATTTCTGTGGCAACCCAAAATGTCTCTTGATTCATAACATCCTCAAACTGCTTTAGATTAGCATTCCCCGTTTTAGATTCAAGTTTATATAGTTCATCAATATATTCAGTAGGTTCAATGTTCCGAAATAAGTCAAAGTCTCTCATTGATAGCTGGGTAGCTACCTCAATGGTGCTCAGCTGTAAAAGGGAAATCTGGCTCTCTCTAAGCAATTCTTGAGCATCTTCATCTGAGCATAGAGTCTCAGTTTCCATATTATTTTTCAAGTAATACCTAAAAAGCATTGTTAGAGAAACAAACATTAAATGTCTTTTAATACAAATTCAGAAAAGGAACGACATAGCTAAACATAGCTTCCCTGCAGTAGCAGAGGGCCTTCTTGCACCTCCCTGCGGCAACAGAGTGTGCCACCCTATCTCCCCGCCATGGTGGAGGGTGTGCCACGCTTCCCCGCAGCAGCAGAGGGCCTTGACAAGGCTCCCCGCGGCGGTGGAGGGCCTTAAAATATAAGGAATTCAGTAGGGCTTGCTTGTGAGTAGACACGCATTCACTTGCACTGCTTACCAAAAAACACCCTCCCCATCGTTCCCACATAGTACCCAAACTCCCATTTCAGCATAAAGGTAGCCAGCTAAATCTTCTCCCCTCCATTACCCCCCCACACACACATACACAGAGAGAAGGCCCCCCAAAAGCCCTCATCCTAGCAATCGTTCCCTTTTTATCAAAGTGAAGGAGGGAGGGCAAGCAAGCAAAAAGATAGTCTCCTTGAAATAATAATAAAAAAACCTTCCTTTTTAATATGGATGAAAGCTATTTAGGGGAAACCAACAAACATAAACACCACCAGAAAATAAAAACAAAAACTCTTTCCCCCATTTTTTCCCTGGCAGGGGTGAGTGTGAGGGAAGAAAGAAGTGCTTTCTATTTCTTTGTGTTCTTTGTTTACTTTGCCGCTGGATCTTTGATTTTCTAGCTGTGTGAGGTTCATCCTGAATTGTTAGTAGGCTCTGCATAAGTAGCTGAACTGGTAAGAAGACAATAAGCCTTCACACAAACCAGCAAACTCTTTCAGTTTCACCAATATATTTCCACTTAAAGAGTTTGCTGGTTTGTGTGAGGGCTTATTGTCATTTCTTATTGGTTAGGAGGGAGGAGGGAGAGAACAAACAAAGGAGACAAGCTGCCTGCAATTTATCTGAAAACTATCTGTACGGGACGTGGGTGGCACTGTGGGTTAAACCACAGAGCCTAGGACTTGCCAATCAGAAGGTCGGCAGTTCGAATCCCCGCAATGGGGTGAGCTCCCGTTGCTTGGTCCCTGCTCCTGCCAACCTAGCAGTTGGCTCTTCTAACATTAGAGAAAGTAAATGTACTGTTATGCTCATTGGAAGAGAGTCCTCTTTTTATTTTATTTTTCTACCATTTTCTTACTTCTGTGCTTTACTTAAAGATGCAAGCATACCTACCTTCCATTCAGCTGAATCCGATCGGCTAACTTTGAGAACTGATCAGGAAGCCTTCTCTGTTTGATAACTCCTTCGGGACTCACAGAAACCTCACAGAGAGAATAGGTCTCTGAGCCTCCTGTCAAATTGAATTCGTGGACTGCATGGCTTACGACTTCTTTTGCTGTAGTGTCTTTGCTTATGATAATGTAACAGCTCTGTTGATCGGCTTTGAAAACTCTTATAACCTGATCTGGAATGTCTAGGTTAAAAAAATTAGAAGTATACAGTTATTCCCTTAAAATGGTGTTTAGTTTTTTAAAATATATATATATAGCTTTGTTTTTTGTAACAATAAATGACTGATTCATGTAAGCATATGTGTACTATTGTTTGCTCAGCAAAAGCAGTGAAAATTTACACTGCATGTATCTTTAAAAAAATATATTATTTCTTTCTACAGCCACAAATTTATTTTTAAGGTTTTGATTCTCCCTGTGCCCACTGACCAAATAGGTAGCTCTTTGTTCTGGACCTTCAGCGTTACATAGAAAATAACTGCACTTGACGATTGATGTGGATTATGACAAGTAGTAAGTGTATCATAAATCAATGAGGCTCTAAGCTTCAAGTTTAGTTTATTGATTCATTTTTCTTATAGACAATTTACTCTTTGTGAAGCTGAATTGGTTTGGAAAATTCAGCTGATAGGGTGCAGAGTGCTATATAATTTAAATGACCATGTGCTTCTTTTCTTCATGTTGCCCTGTATCACCAAAGTCAATTAACAAACTTATAAAATGGGCTTTTCAGAACAGAGCCAGATGTGACTCAATGTCAGACAGATCTGATTTTAACATGCAGATAAAACATGGCTCGTGGTGCAGGTGATGGTAGAGAACCACATATGTAGAATCCCTGTCCTTGGAAAAACAAAAATAGCATAGCAAGAGAAGACAAGGACAACTCTCTTCTCTTTCCAAGAGCAAAAAGTTTTTTATATTATTATTATTATTATTATTATTATTATTATTATTATTATTACATAGGACAAGCTGTCGTCAACCTGGTACCCTTCAACTGTTTTAGACTACAACTCCTATCAACTAGGGATGATAGGAGTTGTAGTCCACAAAATCTGGAGGACAACAGGCTGGCAAAGGTTGGCATAGGGCAACATTGAAATCTGCTATCTTCCACCTGCAATCTGAAATGGTACAGTATGGGAAAGACTCAACCACATGTTTTGGCTGCATGTCTGAATCAGACAGTTACACAAGTAATTAGTTCCGAACAGCTGGCATTCAAATTTGCTATAAAAGCACAAGCCCTATAAATTCATCCTCTTTCTCTCTCCTGTTTGAAGTGTTCAACAAAAGCAGTATTTCTGAATCATTCTAATGATTTGAACTCAGTAGTATTTACATCCAAGAAGGCATGTATAGGATTGTGTTATAATTGTACTTTCACCACCCTAAAACTACCCTACTATAAGATAGCAAGTCCTGTAACCTTTTGCAACTGCCCCCCTCCAAAACAACAAAACAAAACACCAAGGCTGAAGAACAGGAGTATAACTGCTACACCTTCTTCATTCCAAAGATACCTTAGAAAGTGTAATTTGGGGTCTCCTCGGTCCTAGTCCGGCAATCTTACCACTAAGTCACAATGGCTCTAATGGAGTTATTTCTATCAATCTTAACAGCAAAGATAGCATGGACAGGCATGGAGAACTATTTTCAAAAAATCTGCAACAGTCACCCTTCCTCCGCACAATTTTTGCACCTCCATGTAGGCCACGTACTTCATGTACTTTTGGTACTCCACTGAATTAATCTCTGTCCTGCATAGTTGCATTTCTCAAAATGTGACTGTCATGACAAGGTAGGTATTTTATAGGAAAGTGCCATTATATTTATGAGAAACTTTAGGAACAAAAGTCAGCCATCTCTAACCCTCAAAGGAGCAATAACTTAGAGTATGTTGCAAGCTAATACTTGCACAGCGATCAAAGAATTATTACATAGTCTGACTCACACATATGTTGAAAGATTAGACACTGAAGGATTATAGACACTGAAACAAAACAGGTTCAGCTATACTTCTGAAAAATGGCTTCACCACTTTGACTGTTTAAAAAATGTTACTATTTAAAGTAGAATTTCAAAAATACATTTTTTTAAAAAATAACACATTATAAAATCATCAGGTTGCCAGTGATTGGAATACTTACAGTAAAAACCAACCGCTGCAGGATAAAAAGAAGGAGGGAAAGTCAGGATCCAGACTTTACACTGACATCATTAGTCACACACTGTATATGTGTGGATATGAAAACAAGTTACTTTGATTTTCCTCTTATTAAAAACTGTATACCAATAATCTGATTCCTTGTTACATCTGAGAAATATTAGCTAATCACAGCTAACATAATTGAAAAGAAATCTCTTCAAGTGTAAACAGAAGTTGCTACATAAACTGTTACATAAACATAAAGTTATGCCACAATGTGTTGTCAGAGTGCATAATTAAGCTAAAAATGTGATCTGGGTATAAAAACAAAGAAAAGCTTTTCTTGTTTTGTTTCTAAGAGGCCTAGGTGTGATTTAGATTACTGCAGTGAAAAGATGTGACAGTAGAAGACGCACACTAAGTTTTGTAAAGAGATTGACACAGTAAGGAACGAAGAGGTGTTTAGGTCAGCAATGATCATGGGTCAATAGCGTCTGGATATGCACACTGCCAATTAATTAACTTTGGTAGGTGGAGTCCAGCTGATATTTCTCCACTGATAGAAAGTACTATTGGTACCTATCTGAAGAGCGGTTTCCCACTGGCACTACAAGGTCATCAGGCTGGGCAACATCTCCCCCTGGTAGTTGAAGGCAGGACAAAACTTTTGGGAAGCACTCCTATAATCCAGTTTGTGGACTTTTACAAAAGGTAAAATTGGTGGCTTCCTCAATAGCACCTCATTTGTGTCAGAAAAGGTATCTCTGGGATGATATACTTGCTGGCAGCATAAAAGGTTTGGGGGCGTAGTCTTCCATTTTCTTTAAACACTTCAAACAGTATATGGCTAAAAATGTAGTAGCTATGAAAGCATGATGATAAATGCATTAACTTGCCCCATTAGAAACAAATCTGTACTGTGTAAAGCACTAATGAGCACAGGAAGCCTCTGTGAATATAGAAACCTATTGTTTTCTTCTTTGTTCTTTTCATTTATTCTTTTAACACTGCTAGACACGTATCTAGAATAATCTGGCAAACCCAAATTGTATAGATGTGTCAGGATGGCATAGCAGGGCTGTGTGGTGGAGCCATCGTCCCGACAGTGGCATTGCTTCTGCTGCTTACAGGAACAGTGTAGCGGAGGGGCAGGGTAGTGATGAGGTTGGGGCTACGTAGCTGTTTAGATGGGAATGCTGGATTTTGTGCACCCACAGAACCCTTCCTGCTGCCCTGCCCTTACTGCTGTTCCACCCCAACCCATACTGGTAAGAAGCAGCAGCAGCACAGCTTTCAGAAGGCTGGCTCCAAAATACTAACCCAGCAGCTCCTGAGGTGTGCATCAGAGTCACAAATTCTGGCAACTGCATTTAACTTGCCTCCATAAGTAGCCAACCACGTATTGGATTGTCAATGCTGATTTACAAAAACATGGTGGGAAACGTAACGGATAACAACTGAGGGTCTTTTTACCTGAAGGGTTAGAAAAATCCAACATGCTGGTTGTAGGCTGCAAGAGATCAGGACTGCTGGACGAGAGCGTGCCAGGAATAGGCATAATTGCCAAACTGTGTCTGCATTGCCTTGTCCCCACAATGCTGTCGTCCTGTGACTGGCTTACACTACCATCACTGCAAGGAAGTTTTAGAAGGTGTCAGTGTTTAAATGAAACAAAAGCATAGTTATTCTACACAAATGAAGCAAAACAAGGTATAATTTTCACTAACAATGGAAGCATGAGATCTTAAATAATAACCTGCTCTTCTTGTTGTTTACAGGCTGCTGTGTCTCAAAGGCTCAAGGTAAAACTGAACTGCTTACCGAAACCTCCTTTCAGAGTATGCACTGCACATCCATAGATTTAAGAGTGCTAATGCAGAAGGTTCTGTATCTTGGAAGCAGTTACAGCACTTGTACTAGTGCCCCTTCTAGCCTGCTAACACTTCTCTTTCTCTGCAGCATCTGATTATCTGATGCATATTACCTCATGAAGGTCAAGAAGATGGCTATACTGTTGGTTTGTGTTTCTCCTATGCAGACTGATGAGCTTCAGGGCCTTGGTCTGTCCTTTACTGGCCTCCTGTTTTGCTTTTTCAGGAAGAGAATGATATCTGAAGTCCTCTCATCTCACAAGGAACTCCTTGTAAAAGGGGAGGGTGCCTTTTGGCCCACTGTGTTCTATTTGGCTCATTTCCATAATAAGGAAATTCACTGACGGAGGACAGATTTTCTCCTAAGTTCTTCTCTGCCTTCACAAGGCTCTGGAGAATCAATAGACTTCAGAGTGAATGTCAGAATTTTGCAATATGGCGCCTATTCCACCAGCTCTGCTGAGAGACTGGCTTACTTTAGTCTTCCTTAGTGATGGACTGAATGGGGAACAATAAACTGAGGCTGAATCCTGATAAGACGGATGTGCTGTGAGTGAGTGGTTCCTGCGTCTTTGAAAAAGATGCAAGGCCTGTTCTGAGAGGGACTCCACTCTCAAAACAGGTTCATAACTTGGGAATACTCCTGGACTCGTTAGAGATCTCACTAGAGTCTCAAGTTGTTTCTTTGGTTAGGATTGCTTATGCTGAGTTTAGGCTGATTTATCAGCTATGACCATCCTGGGATTGATATAGTTGTCCATGATCTGCCTTCTGTGCTACTATAATGTGATATATATGGGGCTATCCTTGAAGATGGTTCAGAGGCTGCAACTAGTACAGAATGAAATTGCTAAGCTGGTAAGTGGGGCAGCCTGATGAGACCATAGGTCTTGAGTCCTGAAGCTGCTGGCTTGCCAGTGAGCTACTGGGCCTAATTCAATGTATAAGTATTAGCATACAAAACCCTAAGTGGATTAGAACCCAGGTTCCTAAAAGAGCATCTTCTCCTATATCACCCACCTCAGACTGTACCATCAGCAGGTGAGACTTTGTTGGTGCTGCCATTGGGGACTGCCCAGTTGGCAGTGACCCATGACAAGTCCTCCGCAGTGGTTTCCACCCATTTGCAGAATGCCCTCTCTGATGAGGTGCATCTGTCCCCCTCATTATTATTTTCATTATTTTTAAATTTTATCTTTAGTTTTTGTAAATTAAAAAACAATGAACCATAATAACAACACGGTAACAGTAGCAACATGAGAGCAGTGAGTACAAAAGTAAAAGATAAGTTGTGTTCAGCAGAGTTTAGTCCCAGTAATCAAATTCTGAAAGGTCCAGTTTCAGCTAAGATGTTTTTAATGATATTGTAAGTAATGTGTTTGGTGACTTGGGCTCCTTTGGGAGGAAGAATGTGACATATATTGACTAAATTGATTAAATAAATAAAAACTGAAAGACCATAACAAAAGTCAATATGGCTATGCATAAGGGGAAGTATATGCATATTCCCATATGTGTGACTACACAGAGGCACAAGAGAGAAAACTATCTCATAATTAAACTTCACAATAATACAACTGTGGTTTTAGACTTACTTTTTTTGATTCAAAAAGGTGCCAAAACCAAGGTCAATACATGGGTTGTGCTACCAGGTAATAAAAGTATGTTTCCAGTAGGGACAAGTGAGTCGTTCATCCTATTTCTGCCTGTGGTTTTATTATTATTATTATTCTGTCAGTCACAATCCATTAATAGAGCAATGGAAATAACTGAGGTCAAGAAACACCAAGCCACAGAGAGTAGCTATTCACAGACTGATGTGCAAAAAGCTATAGAGAATGACTGCTGTGAGAAAAACTGTAGGTCTCAGCACTGTCTGTAACTGATGGAGCTTTCTCTAGAAGCTCTATCTGACTCTCTAGTAATAGACTACTTCTTCTGAAACACAGAATGCTTATTTAACTTGGTTTACAAAATGTTCCAGATACTAACAAAAAATAACAAGGAATAATGCAAGTAATGGTTGGGAATTGTCCTAGACAAGAAAGACAAAAGGGGGAATGATGAAGGGATGCACAATCTAGTTCACAAATCAGCAATCTTCTTAATATTATTGTTAGTGGGATTTCAACATGCCTAGCAATCTAAACTCCAACTATTCCTGGGTGTGCTAGGACAGGTTAGCTGACTAAGCCGTTGGTCACTTTAGATGAAGAAACACTAGGTTTGATTTGCTGTGGACACACCCCTTGGAGGCACAGCCAAAGAGGCCAAATAATGGACATACCATATTTTTTGTCCCATAGGACGCACTTTTCCCCCTCCAAAAATGAAGGGGAAATGTGTGTGCGTCCTATGGGGCGAATGCAGGCTTTCGCTGAAGCCTGGAGAGCGAGAGGGGTTGGTGCGCACCGACCCCTCTAGCTCTCCAGGCTTCGCGCAGATCTCCGCAAGCCGTGGGAGCCCGCGCCCCCAAATTTGCATATGTGCAAATTTATACAATTTTTTTTTCATATCCTTTATTTAGAGCAAATACAAATTACATACTAAAATACCAGTACATATATATACATATATATATACTTACATTACAAAAAGAGCCCGAAAGAGAATAGAGAGAAAAAAAAAATCCAAAAGAACTACCAAATAATTAACTTCCATTCATCTCGGTCTTGGAATACATATCCTTACATTGCTTCTGCAGTAATACTGTCATTGACTTAGTACATCGAGGGCTTTAATTATCGTCTACTGATAAGTTGTTAATTCCTATGTTTGTCTCAAAGTAATTTAAAAATTTAATCCATTCATCTTTATGTTTAACGGTATGGTTTTGCCTTATTTTTTGTGTTAATCTAGCTAAATCAATATATTGATATAACTTCAATTGCCACTCGCCAATCGTAGGTGCCTCAGGAGATTTCCATTTTTGTGCTATTAGGATCCTTGCCGCGGCCATAGCATATTGAACAAAGGTTTGGTCTGGTTTTTTAATTTCCTCACTAATCATCCCTAAAAGAAACAACTCAGGGGCTTTGGGAAAATTATACTTCAAAATTTTCTTCAGTTCCTCATAAATCCGACTCCAGAATTCCTTCACTACCTCACAGGTCCACCAGGTATGGAAAAAGGTCCCAACCTTATCTTTACATCTCCAGCAGGTATTGTCTACGGATTTATACATTTTTCCTAACTTTGCTGGGGTCAAATACCAGCGGTACATCATTTTCTCTAGATTTTCACGAAGAGCTGCACACGCTGTAAATTTCATACCTTTCCTCCAGAGTGTCTGCCATTTATTATAATCGATATTATGTCCGAGGTCTCTATCCCATTTTATCATAGCACCCTTCACCAAATCCTCTTTGGTATCCCATTCTAGTAGTTGTTTATATGTTTTGGATAGGAGTTTGTCATTACTCTCTAAGATTTCCAGCTGGAATCTCGATTTTTTTTCATTCACCCCCAGTTTCTTATGCTCACCCCACAATGCATTAATCTGATGAAAAAGTAACCATTCTTTTATCTTTCCTTTCAACTCTTCGTACGACTTCATCTTCCACCCTTCTTCTGTCTTTACTAAGAGATCCTCATACGTCCATCTTTCACCTGTCATATTTATTTTTTTTATTTTAATAATATCAACTGGGGAGAGCCACCACGGGATACCTTTTTCCAACACTTTTTTATACCTATTCCACACTTCCAATAGTGAGCCTCTGACTATATGGTTAGTGAAACCTCTATGGACCCCACTTTTCTCCTGCCATAGGTAGGCGTGCCACCCAAACCTAATATCAAAACCTTCCAGATCTAATAGGTCTGTATTCCTAAGGGTAGCCCACTCCTTTATCCAGCATATACAAGCTGCCTCGTAATAGAGCCTTATATTTGGGACTGCAAAGCCACCCCTTTCTCTTGCATCTGTTAAGTATTTAAATTTTATTCTGGCTCTCTTCCCCTGCCAAATAAACTTGGACAGGGTTTTTTGCCAGTTCCCAAAGCAGGAGGTGCCTTTTATTATCGGGATATTTTGGAACAGGAACAATAATCTCGGGAGGATACACATCTTAATTGCTGCCATCCTTCCTGTCCAAGAGAGTTGCAGCCTATGCCAGGTGTCCAAGTCTTTTTTTATTTCATGCCAAACCTTGTTATAATTATCTTCAACCAGATTTATATTTTTCGGTGACAGCCAAATTCCCAGATATTTTACTTTATTCACGATTTTAATCCCGATCTTTTTTTCCAACTGGTTTTTATCCTGATCATCCATATTCTTTACTAAGATTTTTGTTTTCTTCCTATTTAATCTGAATCCTGACAGTCTGCCAAATTCCTCCAATAGTTCTATCACCTTACCCGCACTGTCCACTGGGTTCTCCAGGGACAGGACCAGGTCATCGGCATACGCCTTTATCTTAAATTCTTTCTTCCCAATTCTTATTCCCCTCACGTTTGTTGTCTCTCTTATTCTATTTGCAATCACCTCTAGTACAACTATAAAAAGCAAGGGAGACAATGGGCAGCCCTGCCTTGTACCTTTCATGATCTTAAAGGGTTTGGTCAAATTATTATTTATAATCAGCCTGGCCTGTTGTTCAGAATATATAGCCTTAATACCTTTCATATATGGACCTTCTATGCCGGCCTTGACCATACATTGTGTTAGAAAGTCCCAGGAGACGTTATCAAAAGCTTTTTCAGCGTCTATGAAGATTAATGCAGCTGGGATGTCAATTCTCATATCCAGATACTCA